CCGACCTCCCCACTGCCGAGCCCTCGAGCTGCAGCTCCTTCACCCTCTGCGGCAACGCTGGCGATCAAGAATGCACCTGCCAACTCGCCCGAGCAGTCTCAAGCATGTGATGTTCATGAGCCTGCTCCTGTGGGTGCCTCCAAGGGCCCTGACCCAGATGCAGAGCCAGACGACGACGTCCCATTTAATCGCAATCGTTCCCGCTTTGACGATGTCAACGTCACAACGCTGATGAGGGCCCTGACTGCATGCGATGCCAGTGCGTTTTCAAAGCCGAACCTCAGGCTTCTCTTGAAGAAGGGAGAGCGCATGCAGAACAAGGGCACCGTGCAGCAGCTCATAACCTACCTCTGCGACGTCGAGATGTCCGACACGATCCCAATGCAGTGTCGCACGAAAGGAGGCGTCATCACATACATCCAGGAGCAATACGTGCTGAAGGGCCACCGTGGTAAAGGTCTCGTGCTTCCAGTTGATTTTGACACGGCTGGCCACTTCTCGATTGCAATCATTGGCACCACATGCACCGTGAAATCGATAGTCGACAAGTCCGAGGCCATCCTCAAGATCCCCAGGCAGGCGAAGCTATACATTGACAACAACCACAGCTACCGCACCGCCACCGTGCGCCAGGACGGAGGTGACTTCTGCGAGCAGCTGAACATCATGTTCCGCAAGTCGGCAGCTGTCTTCGATGAGGAGGGGCAGGGGGGCGGGGTCCAGATCCAGACGCCTGCAGGTGGCACCGCAGTAGGATCTCCGAAACGGCGCCGCCTGGGCATCAAAGCCCCTGAGTCTGGCGCCCAATGCGATGCTAAGGCCAATGGGGCGGGCGCCAAGCCGACAAGGGTTGGGCGCCGTCTCGGCGTCCCCATGCCAGTCTCGAAGGTCGGTGCAGCGCTGAAAGGCAGTTTTCCATCCCGCCGCGGGTCTTCGAATGGGCCTTCGAAGGTCGTGAGTGGCGACGCCGTCCCGATCGCCCCACAGTTTGCTGAGTTCAAGCCTCCGCCGCCCGCGGAGGTGAAGTAGTTCGAGCGTGTTGCAGATTGCAGTGTCAGAGGGTCACTGCTCACATGTATGCATGTTGGCCAGACGCAACAATGGCGAAGTAGACAGACGATCTCGTCTGACAGCCGTGCCACTTAGTATGCTTCGCCCGTATTGTCATGCTGGTGCTGGGCTGCCTAGCCCGCTTACTTTAATTTCTCGAGTGCCACGTTCACACACGGTTGGGCGATTGGGTTTGCTAGATACTGCTAGGGGTAAGCAGATCAAGCGCGCTCGCTGTGGATGGTGATTGTGTGATATGCGTTGCGAGGTCCGTCCAACGATATACCCAGCAAGCTTGTAAGAACTGGCCTGTCATGGTAACGATCGCCATCCTCATCCTCGGGGCCCTCGTCATCACCATGATCACCGAACAACCATCGGCATCAAGACACGGAGGGGATGGGAATGGGATGGGTCGCACGGGGGAGCGGGGAGGGATACGGGGAAGAGGACGAATCGACCACGATGACACGAGGAACGTTGAGGAATTGGACCCGTGAGGATTCTACATCGACGTCCCCTCCCGACAATGTCTTTACTCCACTCGTCCTCGTGACAATCGCCGCAATCCTAGCCGTTACCGGTGCCCCCCCCCCCTCACCATCATCATCCTTCGTGCGTCCTCACCGCTGCCGCCCAAATAAGACCCAGACAAAAATCAATGCCTACGAAGTCCCATGGAGACTCGATGCGAGGAGCCCCGAAGTATTGACAGATGGACTCTGGCCAAAGACATCCTCGCAACAAATGCTCGAAACCATGTGTCTAGACCCTCGTGCACATCATCGCTTTGACTGCCCAACGTCTTCCTGGCACTTATTCGTCTTCCCTGGGCGTCCACTCCCGTGTCATCCCCGTGTCACCCTTTGTCCTAAAGCGAGGGGCACACCGCCCGAACAAGGTTAGGGCGATGGCGACCCACTTGGGTCTGACACTGTTTCCCTCCACCACCCTCAGCATCGAAGCCATTTTGGCTCGAATCGGCGTTGGGTGGACCTGGCGGCCCAACACATTGGCCTTGCCAGAGTACGCCAAGTCGCCAGTGCATGACGCGTGCCACCGATGCGACTAGAGACTATGATTACTACTTCTTGAAGGGGAGCGTGCAGCTGAGCACTGGACAAGTTGCGCCTCTGGATTGGAAGCTGTATGTTTTCAAAGACGATGTCACATTCCTCGAGGTGCGTGGCCTTCTCGACACCTTCTACTCTGGAACGACGACGAAGTGGTACACTGCTCGGGTATTGAAGATCCAGCTGGCGGGAGTAGCCACCGAGCTCAATATCTTGGGATTGGAATACCTGCCAGGCGAGGTTCGGCCGAGCATGAGGGCCTACACGGCCAAGTACCAGCAGCAGGGGCATGAGGGTGACTACGTGGTCGACGAGTTCACGATATCCTTGCGAGGTTTCATTGTATGGATGCTCACTTGGATGAGGACGAGGGCATCCAGGCGCGATCAGGACATGGCCCAAGCAATGCTTACCTACCTGTTTTCACGCTGCCTCGGAACACATCATATGAGCGTTGACGCTATCTGGCCAGTTCTGCAACGGTTCTGCAATATCTGCCCGCGCCTCAACTCGCAGCTGCAGGATGGTGTATGTTCACATCTGGGCTACGCTGTGAGGTGGACCTTGCCCGAGTCCAGGCTTGACGCAGACTGGGCCAAGTTTGCCAGGTTCCTCAACGCTGTCATTCTCAGTCGGGACGATTGCCCATCGGCTGCTGGTGTATTCAACTCACTCCTGAATAACAGTGTGGATGTGATGGCCAGGGCTATTGACCGCCTAGGTTTCTCTACAGATCCACGCACTGCCAGCGCTGGACTCACGACGCCGAAAGGCAATCGTCGGCGAGTTGATGGCGACCTGAAGTTGGCACTCAGCAATGCAACCACTGATCACACAGATGGGTCTTCTCGCAAATGCGCGCGTATCCTGCATGCATCTGTCACGAGTGCCGCTGGCGAATGGGACCTGAAGCACACGCGGGAGCGAGTTCGGGCAACTCGCCAACTCACTTGTCTGGGAGTCGTGTGCTTGTGCGAGGATGCGAGTGGCCATGGGAAGCCAGCCGAGAGCGTCCAAGCTACGCTCGTTATCGATGCGAAGGAGTCGCTGGCAACTATGAGCATGCCTGTGGTATCCCAGCTATAGCGGGGGCAAACAAAATGAGGCGGGGAGGGGAGGAGAGAGGGAGATGGCAAGAAAGATGAGGAGGACCCGAGATGGAGTAGAGGGATGCATAATATCCTCGTCCCCCCTCCTCCTCCTCCTCCCTGCTCCTCCCTCACTTCCTCCCCAGTCAGCCTCCTCGTCCCCCTCCTTCCTCCATAGGCCGCATGGGGTCAGGTACGCAGGGTCGGGTCCTGATTGCAAACCTCGCTGGCGTCGACGGGTCGATGCCAGGCCCCGCAGTGGGCCAGCTCTGCCACTTGCACTTCCCATGTTTCAGCCCTGCTAGAAGCCTCCCCCTGAGACGTATCGCGAGTAGGTCTGACAATGGGGGTCCGACACCTCGACAGACATGCGCCATGTACCTGTAACGATTCAGCCCCCCCACTCCCGACAGATGTAGGCCTAGTAGGTGCAACAACTCAGGCAGCCCCCCCACCGCAGATGTACGCCGAGTTGGCGAGACAACTAAGGGAGGGGGGCGAGAAAGGCACGCTGAGTAGGCGAAACAAGTGACCCCTCACCCCTCCCCAATCAGAAGAGGGTGGAAGGGGGGCAGCATGCCGCGTCTATGTGGCGTGCACCTGTAGATGGGGAGGGGTTTCGTGACTACTCGGCCTGGTCAGGTGCCAGCGGTGGCCCGTAGAGAACTGAGTCGCGAACTGTCCCTGGTCCGTCCTCTGGGCTCCGGTTTGGTCAACCAATTTGTGAGTCACAAACAAAAAACGTGAGTCATTATTTGCCAGGAAGAAAAACATGAGTCACGTTTTGCAAATTGTGAGTTCGGCACAGTACAAAACAATATGAGGGGGGGCAAAACGTGAGTCACGTTTTGCTTTCCGCATACGGAAAGCAAATCGTGAGTCATTATTAGGTACGAATGACTGCTCCCTCTTCCTAACCTCTTCCTCTGTCCTGGGTCCTCCTCCTTTTTCGAAACCATTATCCTCCAATTCCAGGCAGTGCCCCTCCTTAGCATCCTGTTTGTTTTTGCGCTCCAAGGTACCGCCATCGTGGTTTGGCCCAGCTACTGACAGCAAGGGTTGTCTTGTGGATGATGCCCTGACCAGGTTCAACGATAAGGCTGATATGTTCTTCCGGAATTACAACGTGAAATCCATCGGCAGTCTCTTGGAAAAATACAAATCCAACAAAGCGCACCTGTGTTGTTTAGACCACCAGCTCCGTCATTGCCCGCCCGTTGGAGGCATCAAGCATTTTCAATCGTTGCATGGGCAGGTTGGGAAATTAGGTGAACACGAAATGCGTTATTTCATCCCTGTCAACACACTGCCTGAGGACGTGCAAAGGAATTCTGAAGGGCTGAGCCGCCGATCTTGCATCATCAACAAAGAGACAAGGGACACTCGACTGGAGGTCCCTTGGGGCAACGTGCGCCCGATACTGATCAATGTGCTCGACGGTGCTTCGAACGGATTTTCCCACAAGTTGAGGCTTTTTTATGGGGACGGCTGCGTTGGCGACATCAGAGGCCACGAGGTCTACGATCCTCCCCACAAGCATGTTCGAAACAGAGAGAATGCCATCAGCCAGGCAAACTTGACATTTATTAAGCTTGATTTTGGTACAGTGTTTCGTTTCTTACAGGGGCCATGGAACAGCGAATCGAACCATCAGACCATCAAGCGGGCTGCCCAAGAATATTTCAGTTCGTGCAGTTGGGACAACTCTTTATTTCGCCACCATTACGAAAGGATTGCGCAGTCGAGATGCCAGGGCAGGAGACCGCCGAACTTTGGGACTGAGGATCACATGAAGCAGACGTGGGACGAGATAAGGGACGATCACATTGTCAACCACCTTGGTACGAACTACGCCAGTAATCGGTGGCAGGCGTGGAGCCTCAGGATGGAACACTACATGCCCAGCTTCGACATCCTGCATTTAGTCATCATGTACATTCTGCTCACAAGGGGTGTGGTTGACAAGTACGCAGACCACGTTCTGCCAGACATCCACCTGGACAACGCATTGGAGGACTACCCCGATATCAAGGCTGACGCTCCAGTACCCCTGGACCTCACGAGCATGATGGCAACCAAGGAGGCCGATCAGGTGAAGGACTTCAGGAAGCAAGGAGGGTCCATTGGAGTCGTTGCTAAGATCTTGTCGATGCGGACGTCCCGCCAACTCGCCATCGGCCTCATGCGGATCCCGAGTCCAGTGGAGGATCAAATGATGGAAGACATCACGAGCCGAAGTACAGCGATGGGATGCTTCAACGTGAACACCGACATGGCCTCTGGTGGCAGAGACAAGGTTTTCCATGCTGTGTTCGACATGCTAGGCGACGACGATTTCTTGAACGAGTGCGGCTTCTTGCGTCAGGGTGACGCGTTCGACCCAGATACTCTACAGGAGGACACACTTGTTGTCGAGGCGTTGTTTGGGTTTGCGTGGCGGTATGTGGCGAACGAGATCAAGTATACTTCATTTTTTTGCGAGCGCCCCCCCTTCGCGTTCTTGGCCAGTCTCAAGTCCGACGACCACCACGATGCAACGATGAGATGGGTTAGGAAGTTGTGGCAGATGCTTGAGAGGTTCGAGAACTTGCCTGCTACTGAGAAGGAGGTGCACGACACGTTGTACGAGGCGATGTGGCCGAGGAACTTGTTGTCGAGGGAGTACTTAGTGGGAGCAGCTGAATCGGACTTCCTCAATTTTCCAGATCAGGCTATCCGCGAACTGCAAGACCTTGCCAATTGTCCGCTCACTTCAGTGCCGTCTGAGCTGGCCCATCGGGCGCTGAACGCAGCCCAACGGGAAAATGGGAACAGCAAGCAGGGTCGTGCGCAACGATGGCACACCGAGTTGGTCAGTGGCATCCCTGAGAATTACGACCGCACTCAGCCGAAGCCAACCGTCGACGACATTGCAACAGCCCACGAGGTCAGCTTGAACAGCGCGGCCTTCGACCCGAAGAGCAACGAGTTCTCGTTGGGCGAGGGGCGCTTGGTCTCGATTTCAGATTGTAAAAAGGATGCGACAACGTGAAATCCAGTATTCTCTTGTTCGCTCGCCTTTTCACGGTAGACAGCTTCGAGTCTGGAGCGAGATGCCCCCCCCCGCCCCCGCCCCATCTGGCAGTCAAAACATCGAAGCTGGCGATGGCCATGGAAGACGGGGCCATGTATTTTTTTGGGTGTAGCCTTGCCGTGCCAGCTCATCGGGAAAATCTACCCCCCTCCAACGTTTCCTCAGGGCAGGGGGGGAGGGAAAGGGCATTCCGAGGCCAGAGGGAGGAGGTGGGGATCAGGAGAAGATCGAGGAGGAGCGAGGGTCAGGAGGACACTAAGGAGACGGGACATGGCTTACGATTTCCAAGTCGTCGCAGTGGTTCTTTGGTTTACCCGAGGACAAGTTTTCTCCAGAGGCTTACTTTCGGAGCTCAGTTGCTACGTCTAGCTTGCTTTCAGCGGAGACACCTGGAGACGTTGCGCTGACTTGGCTCAGTCTCCTGGCAGTGCCTGGGACTTACCTTCAGGACACAAGGGAGGGCAGAGAGAAGACGATGCTTGTGTTGGACGTTTCCCACCTTGGGGTCCTTGTCTGGCACGTTAAAAATGAGGTGCATCACGGCAAACCCTATTTTGATATCTGCGAGCCTGGTCATCAAGGTCGTGCACCACTTTGGGAATTCATCCACATCCGAGACGTGAGGCATTATGAGTGCTGCGACGTGCACCCCGTACCTCCATGCATGTCGGTAGCTACTAAGGAGGATGGCACTCTCAAGGGATTCATGCTCGAGCAGAAGGGCCCCTTGGAGTCGCTCCTTCGGTTCTCCGCCATGAAAGCGTTTCCTGGACTAACTGTGTTCTACCTCAAGAAAGCGATTTCGTACTTCGAAGTTCCCGTGACCAAGCGGCTACCGACATTGGAATACGACCTAGTGAAACTTCTCGTGCAGTTTTTGTTGCCTGGTTTGAAGGCTGACGAGATCGAGCATATCTTGAGCATGCGGCATGCCAAGATCCCAACGAAGTTCAGCAGCATCCTTGGCTCAGATGACGTCGGCGTCTTGATCGACGACGTCGCCGACAAAGACGACAGGGAGCAGCTGAAGAAACATGCATCTGAATACAAGCGGCAAGTAGCTGCTGCCACGCAACGTGCCGAAGCCAGGGCCAAAGCAAAGGCCAAGGCTGCCGCTAGGAAGAGGGCCCCTAAACAAGCAGTGATTCAGCCAGCTGATCTGCTGGACATCGAGAAGGCCAAATCATTCTTGCCAGACGTAGCAGGGTGTCGGCTCTCGCTCGAGCGCTACTGGGACTTACGAATTCGCGTATCGTATCCTACGGAGATGGCCCCATTCTCGACCAGCAGGGTCTACGAGGAAGGTGACGACGTCACCTTCAAACTTGCGGTGTCCTACTGCCTGAAGTGGGTTTGGGAGCATCACATGAAGCTCAAGAATCTAGCTGTGTGCCCATTTACTTTTGCGCATGGGCCGATCGTTTGATCGCACATCTTTTAGTCACAGAGTCTCTGGGGCACCGCCTGCGTCTGACATTTAGGAGGCTCTCGGGACGAGCGCTTCACTGTAGGGGTCAATGTGCAGTGAGGCTACCTGCTAGTGCAAGCAGTGCATGCGTACGCGTGAACTATCCAACATAACAAACGATAATATCAACACACATGTTCGCACTACGATCATGCGCACGTGTACGTGTGGTAGGGTGGGTACTCTACGTTACTACGTCGGGACCCGCACTGCTGTTCTCCTCAGGTTGGTAGTGTCCCCGAGCTTAGGTTTTTGTTTCTCGTAATTGAGCGTTTGATGTTGAGTGGCAGCACCTGCCGCAACTGATATCATGCAAGATGGCTGCTAGCGAGTCGCGGTTATGTACACCGCGTGCCGTGAGACACGTTCGATTGGTGATAATCGTTCTGCCCGTGCTGGTGGAAAATGTCGAGGAGTTACGTTGATAACACTTGAGCCAAGAGGGTCATACCGCTGTGATGTTAGAACGCTGCAAGGCGTGCGAGGCCAGCCAAGACTCCTGATCCTCCACCTCCTCATTCCTCTCCTCCCCACGCCGCTGCCGTCCTATCTACGAGGCTTCGCCCAATCCGCCACCTCGCTACGTCTTCTGAGGAGCTAGGGTCATATGTATGTTGGGTCTCGCCTATTCCGCTGCCTACCCAGACGAACGAAGATCAACAACGTCAATTTGAACACTTCAAGGGGAGCGCAAAATCACCCAACAAACAACCGAACTATCAAGTCTGAACAACAATACGGAGAGGGAGAAATACAGACACTAACGAAATACAAAGAGACTGTCGCACGCACGAGTGTACGCAAGCAGAACGGCGCACGCAGACACCAACCTGTGCCCGTACATGCACGCACCCGCATGACCAAACACGTGAAATCATTACGGAGTGAAACGGCCTGCGGCCTGCAGTGTAACATAACCTGGGAAACTAACCCCACAAACCAAGAACGGTCTGAGCGTGCGTTGGGGATCACAAGCACGGACGGACCATCGCGACGACGATCATGCCAACGACGATGGTGGTGGTCGTAGCGATGATGATGCGATGGTGGCGGCGGCGTTCCAATCAGATTTGTTGAATTCATGGTAGCACGGAAGGCGATCGCGATGGTGGCGGTGTTCACGGGACGCATCGCCATAAGAGGGATGACTTTCGCTGGACACATTGAGCCTCTAGGGCGCTTCTAGGAGCCACGGAGATGTTGCGAGTGTTTGAGGCGGGTCAGGGCCGTGCGCAACTCTGAATCGTGCAGTGCAGCGCCTCTGCACCGACTTGGGCGCGTGACACCCACTTCGGCGCCCGAAATTCCGACTCGGGGCACGCCAAGTTTAGTAGGCTCGCGCGTCGTCAAGAGTCCGTTGCGTTGTTGACCTTGGAGATGGCGTCACCTGGATGTCCGAACCAGTCGTGGTTCGGCACCCACGTGGCGCGTGCTCGGGGATCAACAGTGCAATCGTCACGAGACGATTGTGAACCTACCACGCTGTGTACGCCACGTCGATGGTGGGGTGTCGAACGCTTTCCTGAGGGGTCCAAGGCGTTGTATTAGTGATATATTAGGCTGCCCATGGTTGAGCGCAAACCCCATCTACCCCGACCCCATATCAGTTCCCCTTAACAAGGGCGGTCCCTGGCCCCCTCCAGGGATCCATCCTGGTTTGTTACTCAACGTGGACATAGCCGTGGCGACACAGCCTAATCCTTCTCCTCCATCTCCATCTCCTCCTCCGTCCGCTCTTCTTCCTCCTCCTCTTCCTCCTCCTCCTCCTCCTCTTCCTCCTCCTCCTCCTCCTCCTCCTCCTCCTCCTCCTTCCCATTTCTTCCCATTATTCATGACTCTTCCCTGTCGCACCCCGTGGCGACGAGACGCTTCCAGGAGGTCCAGAAAGGACGGACACCGCCAGGGCGGGCCGCCGTTGACTCGATGGGCCGTCTTCCTATCGCGCAGGAGGGTGCCGCCCCAGGGTGGGCCATGGGGACGGGACGGATCTGGAAGGCGATGTCTGTTAAGTCGCCAGGGATGTCTCCGTCGCAACTTTCCTTTGCAGGGCCGCCATCTTGGCCGACCCCTCTTTCTCATGACTCCCGAACTTTCGTCTTCCGTTGGGCTCCGAATGCGAGCTGTTGTCTCTCTCTCTCTCTCTCTCTCTCTTCCCCTTATATATAACTCCTCCCCGTCGCACACCGAGGCGTGTCGGTAGGGATGGCGTGCGTTTCGCTTGAGATCTCCTCACCATAGATGATCCTCCTCGTCCTCCTCCATATTCATCTCATCCTTCTCTTCCTCCTGCTCCTCCTCCTCCTCCTTCCCCATTCCCCTTTCCTTTTCTAAATGGCTACTCCGTGTCGCACCCCGAGGCCGGTGAACAGGGCGGGCCTGGCGTTTCGCCCGAGACGTCCTCACCAGTTAAGACCCTGAGGTTTTTGATATGTGTAGCAGCTTCGCGGGTGGAGGGCAGGTCGTTTTCGAAATGTGATTCTCGCGTCCGCCCCGTTCACATCCTTATTTGAGAATGGGAAGAGCCTCGAGGATAGAGGGCGGGTGGTCTTCGAAAGGTGGTTCTCGCCTTCGCGCCGCGCGCGCTAGCTTGAAGCATTTGCAAGCGCTTCACGGGTCGAGGGCGGGTCGGTTTCAGCATGTGGTTCTCGCTGTAGCGCCGCACACCTCCGTTTCGAGCATGTGCAAACGTTTTACGGAAGGAGGGAGGGACGTTTTCAAAATGTCGTTCTCGCCCTAGCGCCACGGGCACTCTTGTTAACAACTTGCAAACGTTTCACGGATGCAGGTCGGTTTCATTTCAACATGTGATTCTTGCCTTCGTTCTGCGCACATTCGCTTACATACTATCTCATATTTACGATGGCGGACAGTCAGGGCGCCGCAGCTACGTGGATTCGGGGTGTTGAAGTCCTCGGATGTGCGTTCTGGCACGGTTGAGGATCGTCAAAGCACAAGAATCATTGTGTGTTCGCGGCGTTGAAGTCCCAGGAATGGTGTTCTTGCGCAGTTCTGTATTTTTAAGCGGTTGTTTTCTAACGGGGCGCTTCTGGCAGTGGAATTGAATATTGGTAGGGGCCTTTGACGAGGGAGCTTGGAAGGAGGGTTTTTGATTGCACCATCTCTGACGCGTCTTGGGCCTTCATTGGTCCTTCACATCATCCTCCGCTGCCGCCCTCGATCCTCTCACTTGAAGGTGGTGTTTTTTCTCTGGCGCTGATTTTACCCAACAATCCTCCTACTTCTCCTCCTCTTCCTCCTCCTGTCTCCTCTCTACTCCTCTCTCCTCCTCCTCCTCCTCCTCCTCCTCCTCCTCCTCCTCCTCCTCCTCCTCTGCTCCTCTTCCTTCCTCCTCCTCCACCTCTTCCGCGTCCTCCTCCGCCTCCTCCTCCTCCTCCACCTGCTACTCCTGAGGCCGTCTTAGCGTCACATGGGGGGCCAATAGCCGTTGTGGAGGGTTTCGGGCCGTGTGGCAGCATTTGGGAGGCGATTTTCGGGCGCTTCTGGGCTGAGTTGGGTCCATCTTGGAGGATATCGGGGCCTCTTGGGCTGTCTCAAACCGATTTGGGGCGTCTCTCCCTCCCTCTCTTCCTCCGTCCAGCCCGAGAAAGCCCCGCCCCGCCCCCCCTCAAGGTCGGGGCGCAGGCCCGCGCGGCGGCGGCCGCCGCGCTCGCCGAGGCGGCCCTCGCCCGCGACGCCGCCGCGCTGCCGGCCGCCATCGAGCGCGCGGCGGCACTGGGCGTGGCGGAGGACACTGCCAAGGGGGGAGGGAGGGGATGAAAGAGGGGAAAGGGACAGGAGGAGGAGGAGGAGGTGCAGGAGTAGGAGGAGGAGGAGGAGGAGGAGGAGGAGGAGGAGGAGGAGGAGGAAGAGGCGGAGGAGGAGGAGGAAGAGGAGGAGGAGGAGGTGAGCAGGAGCAGGAGGAGGCGTAGGAGGAGGAGGTGGAGAAGAAAGAGTAGGAGGAGCAGGAGCAGGAGGATGCGGAGAAGGAGGAGGAGGAGGAGGTGGCAGAGGGGGAGGAGCAGGAGGAGGTGGAGGAGGAGGAGGTGGATGAGGAGTCGTAGGAGAACGGGGGTGGAGGAGGAGGAGCAGGAGGAGGCGTAGGAGGAGGAGAAGGAGGAGGAGGAGCAGGAGGAGGAGGAGAAAGAGGAGAAGGAGGAGGAGGAGGAGGAGCAGGCGGAGGAGGAGGAGGAGTAGGATGAGGAGGAGGCGGAGGAGGAGGAGGAGGGATGAGGAGAGGAGGAGGCGGCGGAGGAGCGTGGGAGGTCGCGGAGGAAGAGGAGCAGGAGGAGGCGGAGGAGGACATGTGCGTCTGTCACACCACCGGGCATTATCGTCCAGTTCCGGGCCCTGGGACCATAGTGCATCGATCATTGTCGAAAGCTAATCCAGATAGACAGTGTGTACGTAGGGCTCTAGTCGTGAGTGCTCATTACGTGTTTGTGGGGCTTTTGCAGCACCCAGATCTCCGACGATATTGCTTTTTGTTCACCCGGCGTTTTTTCCTTGATTTCGGCCCGGCCCCCAGGGCCCAGTATCGGGCCCCGGGGACCACCAACGATGGATACAGAGCGGAACAAAAGACCCTGGGGATGAGATCGGTACCTCTGGGGCGGACGCCAGGGGTGATGCTAGAAGGGGTCCTGGCCCACGGGACTCCCAGCTTTTCGTACCATTCGGGGGCCTCTGCGGCCTTCTGGGCAACGCGATGGAGGTGCTCGGGAAGCCATCTGCGCCTCCCAGGAAAACGTTCGGCCACCTTGCGCCAGGGCCTGGTTTTTGGAAGTGCTGGGGGGCGGTCGTCCGCCCCCCCCCCCCCCCCCATTTTCCGCTTTGCGTGACTCGCTCGACCCAAACGTGCGAACAAACGGCTCAAGGCAACCAGACAAAACCCAGCAACCAAGCCGACTGAACCTAGTGCCCTGGCAGTTTTCGCTGTGATCAGACCACATCGCACCAGAGGATAGATTAACCAGGCAGTTTTCGTTGTGATCAGACCACGTCGCACCAGCGGGTAGATTGACCAAGCATGGCCGCGAGGATTGTTTTGGCAACAAACATGAAAACGAGCGTCGGGCATGCGGCATTGCGATATCTGAAGCACATACCGGCGACACCATGGAACAAGAGAGCAGGCAAGTGGCCACGGGGTGGTCCGGACGTGCACTGCAAACGTGACTCAGTCGGCGCCCAAAGTCTAAAACATGTTTTTCTTTAGCAACAAGAAGGAACAACAACAAGAAGAAACAGCAGTCCACGAAAAGCCCTCAGAGCCTTCAAACACATCTAAGGGCCAGGGCCACTTCTATCTGGGCCTCCTCGATGGGGTCCGAGTGGATGGGATCAGAGGATCACGCCGCATCGCCGATGCATCGGCGATGCGGCTCGATGCGGAGCCCGAGCTTCCCCGCGCCGAAATCGCCGATGCATCGCCGACATCGCCCGTGCATCGACGATGCATCGGCGATGCCTCGACGACGCGGCGCGATCCTCTGGCCACGTCTGCTCGGACCACACCTGGGAGGCTTCTGTTCCAGCAGCACTCGAGGTCGGGAGTTGCGCCGGGAAGGGGGCCCCCCTCCCGGCCTCGCCGCCCTCCGCCGCGGCCCTCCGCCTCCGCCCAGAGCGGGAGCCGGGGCAGCGGGAGGTGCGCCCCTCTGGAGAGCAGCGGCGATGACCACGAGCGGCGACAGCCACGACGACGGCCACGACGCGACCACGATGAGCACGAGCGGCGACCACGGACGACGACGACCACGACCACGACCACGACCACGACCACGACCATGGCGACGACGATCGCGGCGGTATGATTTTTCCACATCTTTGACCCCAGAGGGCAGGACTTCACGAGAAACCTCCGTATGAATTTTTCTATAACCCATGATCTACCCCTCCTTGACGGAAGGGGTGATCTTACTAGCACAGCGAACCCCCTTCGAGAGGAAGGGGGGCCGTCGCAGTCGTTTCGGGCGACACTGTGGAACATGCGTCCTCCGCGAGCTAGGGCAACCGCATGGTCGGCAAGGCGCCCATTGGCCTCCCCAGCCTCCTCCTGTTATCACTCCTTCCTCCTACGCCTCCTCCTCCTGGAGCGACCACGACGACGATCACGGCGACGCGGTTTGGTGTGAACGCGCGGCTTTCGGCCTCTGCGCTCCGAGGACTCGCTCGCCAGCGCGCGCGCCGCCCTGGCCGAGGACCTGGCCCGGCGCGAGATGTCGTCCAGCCGCGATTGGGAGAAGCAGCAGCAAATGAAGAGTGAAACGAAGGAGGAGTTGAGGAAGGGGAACATGAGAAGGAAGAGGAGGAGGAGGAGGAGGAGGAGGAGGAGGAGAGGGCCAGGACGAAGACGAAGACGAGGAGCAGGAGGACGAGAGGACAAGGGGAAGTAGTGTGTGCCAGCGACGAAAGTTCAACAGTTACACGGTCGGAGTGCGGATCATTTCAACACGGGGCGCTCGCTGGAGACTTCGTCAGATAGCGTGACGGGCAGTTCAAATGTTCGTCAGCGTGGAACCCAAATATGAATTTATTGCACAGTGAAGGTAAACGTATGTAGTGTGAGCGATGTAGTGGGAGCTATGCGGCGCGATATCTCTTATGCAAGATATGCCGTGTAAGTTACATTGTTCGAGCTATGCGGTGTGTGCTATGTGATCTGCGCTATGTTGTCTCAGCTATGCCGGAGTAAGTTGGTGCACGTCATGTGGTGTAAGCTATGCGGCTCAAGAAATGTGGTGTGAGTTGTGCATTGTAAGCTATGCGGTGCAAGCTGTGTTGCGGTAGCTGCGTGGTGTCAGATGTGTAGCCAGAGCCAGGCTGTGTAAGCCGCGTCGTGTGTGCTGTGTTGGTGACCGCTGTGGGGCAGACCCCCCACGCGGCCACGAGCGGCGACGCGGCGAAACGTCTGCGGACACACCGGATCCGTGGGCGGCAGCGACGGCAACGAGGCGGCCACACGAGGCAGCCACGGGCCGCGACGCGGCGAGGCCTCGGCGGATCCCCCAAGTGGGCGGCAACACGCGGGCCCACGAGGTGGCCACAGGCGTCGACGCGACGCGGCGAAACCTCGGCGGACCCAATCAAATCCTCAGTGAGAGACGTAAGACCCCCCTAATGGAAGCACTACTTTGGGGAACATGTACGTGGAAGCAAGAGAAAAACTCAACTACACAGGTGGGGTGGCGCTTCCCTCTCAAAGCAGAGATGTCGTTCGGGCACTTCCTTGAATTGTAGAGCCCCGCGTGGCAGCAGTCCGGAGAGCTCGAAGTGTATGGCGGTGTCTTTCGCACGAAGTTCCCGCCTGAATTGCGTGCCCTTGGGGCGCGCGCGTCGTTCTTCAAGGGAGGTTCCTCGCGCAGTGCATTTGGGACGGGAGGGTGTATTGCAGCATCGCTGTCCTCCTCTTGGTGACCGTGAGCACAGACAGACCTCTGGGCTCGAGTAGGCTCTGGTCCGTCGATCCGGGGCGCATCCTGCGCGCGCGCGCGCCCCCGACATGGACCCAGAACTCCCCACCCAGAAGCCCAGAGCTGTTCCGGCGCCTACTCGAGATCGCCGCTGAGCACGAGAGGCTTCAACACGAGCACGGCCGACTGCCTGAGCCCGTCGAGGCAGCGCCCGAGCCTCGTCGAGAGCAGCGCCAGCCTCCAGCCCATGTCGCCTGCGGCGGCGAGAGCGCCCAGGCCGTCGGCGCGGCCTGCAGCCTGCCGGTGTGCGGTGGCGATGGCGTGGGCCGCAGGCCGTCGGCGGGGCCAGCAGCCTGCCGTCGTCTGGCGCCCCGCAGCCGGCGGGCGGAGGCCCGCGGTGCTCCTCCGTGGGCTCGGTGCCGGCTCGGGCCGTGCGGCCGCGCCTTGCCACGTTGGCTCCTGTGCATCCCGCTCATCAAGCTCGCCTTCGTGGTGCGACCTCTCCTCCCCGTAGGCGCAGGCCGTGTTCTGCGAGCGCGGCCGAAGCTCTTGGGCAGGACTTGGCCTTGAGATGACAGAGGAGTACACCGTTTCGATTCTGGCCGAGTCCAGGGCAGACTCCCTCCCAACGTCCACCTGGCACGCGGCCAGGACAGCTACAGGCATCAGCTGGGCGACTTGGCAATGGGTGTGGCTGGAATCTGGTCGCCTCTTGGGCCAGGCCGCCAAGTTGGGCTGTGAAACATTCGTGCGAGTCTGGGAATATGGGTCGTATCTGGCCGCCTCCCAGTTCCAGGTCGCAAAGGGGGCGAGCGGTGCGTGTGTGGTTGGCATCGGGCCGCCTCCTCGTTTCGCCGTGCCCCCTGGAACGCAGCATCCAGCAAGCGACGCGCCACTTGCTCGCGCGACATGGCCGCCGCCGCGCCGCCGCGACACACTTAGCAAAACTCCCCCGCCGTAGCCGAACGAGAATCCCAGGATTTTGGCGTCACCCCAACATGCTAATACTATGTGTGCGTCGCCCCCAAAGGGCGACGCGCGCACCGAGCAATCATATCTTGTAGGTTTCGTGGCTGGGATGCTATGACCGTACCGTTTGGGAAAGGATACGTATTTTACAAGACGGTTGTGTTATATAACATGTTCGGGCCGGGCGCACTAGTATGTCCTTTCATTTGTGCGTCCCACCCTTACGCTTGTATTTCGATGAGGACACCGTAGTTAAACGTCCTTGTGCCCAGACCCCCGGCGTCGTGCTTTTTTTTGTTTTTCACAACGTCGACGCCCAGAGATCTGGACCCTTTCCCCGGGACTGGTTTTTCATCTTGGATCGTTTTTTGATGGCCCCGGGGCTCGGCAAGAGCCCCCGCGGGCCGAAAATGGCGAAAACTTCCCGTTCCGATTTTTTCACAACGCGAGGGGGCTGGGTGGCGTCCCAGGAGGCGCCCCCCAAAAAAACCTCCGCGGCGACGGCGGTGGCGACGACCGGCAGGAGCGGCAGAAAGCGGACGCCCGGGCCGCCCTGGCAGACGCAATGGGCACCCGCGCGGCCGCCGCGCTCCGGGCGGCCATCGCCGGGGCCGAGGTTTCGTGCTTCTTGCTCCTCGAGTCGGGTCGGGCGGGGGGAAGGTCGAGGAGGAGGAGCGGGGGGGAAGGTCTTGATCCTTGCTCTCGTCCCTCTTTGGCTCTCGTTGTCTGTGTTCACATTGTGCATGCCTTGCCTGCCCGCTGCCCCTGAATCTCGCGAAGTTCGAGATCGTGCACGCCACTGCCATAATTACCTGGTGACGAGATTGCCGCCCTCGATCGTATTGTCCGCATGAACGCTCAGTCTCTGAAGCACGGGACCTGTAGGAAAGTTTTTTTTTTCTGGGTTCGTGGGTCGATCATGTTTTTCCCTGGGAATTTGTGAAGTTTTGCTTTGGAGGCCTCGTTGAGGGGCTTCTGAAGGCCCATCTTGGGCTTGTCTGGGACCATCATGGTGCAATATTGAGGCATCACTGGATTATGTTCGGGCCATCGAGCATCTATGCATACAACTCGCTTGCGTTCTCGGTCCGTCCTTCGTCCTGCAGATGTTCATGCCCCCTAAAAAAAACGACGGTTGCGATCGAAACCAAGGCTACAGACGATTGCGGCATGCTGTTTTCACAGTGTTATAGCCGATCTCTGGCGCGATATGAGTAGTTTGTGTATGCAAATGTCTCCCAAGAAGCTGATCTTGGAGAGTGAGTCTGCCAGGTTTCGCGTTGCCGTGAAGTCACGTGCCTTCCACGGGATCAGAGACAGGTTCCATCGCTTGATCTACGCCAGCGGTGATGTGCTAATTGTCACCCGTTTTCCCGAATGGCGACAAGATTCTATAGTATTCTGGGTTCCTTAATAAGCGTGGGGGGGGACCCCCCCCCGACGGGGGTAAACCTCGCCTCGTCGTCGCGTCGCGACGGGGATCGGAGCGCCTTCGGCGCGCGGTGGCTGCCCGCGACGGGGGTCGATGTGGGGCTGTCGGCGGGGGTGACGCCCCCCCCGACGCTTATCAAGAAACTCGAAGTAGCCAATCCCAGATTGCGTTTCTCATTTTATCCTTGCCCATGGCCTCCCCGAGGGTCTCGTGAGCTCCACTCGTGCCCTGCACGAGTTCCCGCTCGGCCTCACGAGGCTCGGGCCCGCCAGGGAGCCAGTTCGTTCCATCAGCTCCAGAGCTCTGCAGGGCTGTCCGTTGAGCCGCTCTCTCGGCACTTGCATTCGGCGCTCCTCTTTGCTGGTTTCCGAATTTAGAAAATTTGTTTTTGAAACCGGGGGTTTTGAATTCAAAACATGTTCTTTGTTAGTCAAAGAACTTGTTTGTATAAATTAAACCAGTCTCCGCGGACTGCTCCCCGTGGACTCCTTGAGGCGGCGTGCGCCGAAGACAAGACTGTTGCCAGCAGAGGCCAGCTTGCTCAGCGCTGCTCGGGCACCCGCTCGGGCCATGCGTGAGCTGGCCAACCTGGCACTCCAATCCACAAAATGCAACCTTGTGCACTTGTGGGGAGCGTGCTCGCCCCAGGTCGTTGCCGAGGGTCGCGCTCTTCTCGCCTGACTCGCCCCTGCATGGTCTGCGTTTGCCGTTCCCAGGGCTTGCAAGTACCCATCTGTCGTTGATAGAACGTAGGTATTTCTGGAATCCCAGGTTCCAATCTACTGTAAGCGTCTTCCTACTTCACTGATCGAGTGGCTTCCCTTCTTCCCTCCTCTTCAGGGAGCTGGCGGAGACCCAATCTACTTCCATCGCATTTCTACTTCATGTGTCTACCTACTTCTTCCGACCGATTGGTACCTATGTGTGGACATTGGTCCTGCTGCCACACCCGCCAGGCAGTGGAAGGGCTGCTGCCCCGAAGTGGTGCACGCGCGCTCAGCTCCAGGCTGCCGCTGGCGCTGCGACGGCAATCACTGTGCACACAATCGCACTTCGGCGTCACCCCAGCATACCGATACTACGAGTGCGTCGCACCCCCAGGGGCGACGCGCGCACCGCGAAACCTTCCAGTATGTGCTTCGCGGCGGCCGCTTTCTGGCCATGCCGGTCGGGGAAGCGAGGTGCTAGAAGATGGGTGTACGATGTGTTCGGCTCGGACGCGCGCCTCCAAGGAGGACATACAGTACGAGCATGACTCTGTGCGCCCCATGTCTCCATGCGTACTCCTCGATGGCTGGCGGCCGCCCCGTCCTGATCTCATCTCGTGGGCAGATATCCACCGCCTGGCTGCGCGCTCCCACGGGGCCGGCCGCGAAGCAGTCACCTAAGCCGCGCGCGGTGCTTTTGCGCCGCAGGCTTCAACGGGCTGTCTATGGCTCTCTGTCTACGTCCATGCTCCCCCGCACTTTCGCTTCTCTGATGAGGAAGGGGCGCTCATACCTCTACCCTTCCCTTGTGTCCCCCTTTTGGGGCCTCCTGAAAGGCCCTCGTCCCCACTGCTGGGTTCGTCTCGAAATCCTGGTCAGGACGTACCCCAGGAGCGGCCCGGGGACACCAAGCGATTGCCTGCCGATGTAGAGCTGCGCTGGGTGAATCACTGCGGTGCGAGCTCGAGTAGACGTCCCTGGCTCACCAGTGATGCGTGGTGAAGACACTCTGCGCGACTTTGATCACATTACACAAGACGCACGTTCTGAAACCTCGTCCTTGCCAGTGTGATTGCTCTGCACGGGTCTCGATGTCCATGATTGGCAATGCCTCATCTCATGCATTTCACCCTCCCCCGCGCCTTTCCGAATCCTTGCGTGCTCGTCATGTGGGGGTTCGGCACAGAGCAGGACCATGCCTCCCCAGACGATGAATGCCCAGCGGCCATACGCAGAATGATCACAGCAGTTTGTTTTATTATCATGCACAGAGTGTCTAGAGTTCCGACCACTTTATTCCGCGTCGCACCGCCCCCCCCCCTCCCCGCCACCCCTCCTACCCCTCCCCAGCGTTCCCCAGCGGCCCAGTGGAACCCCCGCCCAGTGCCCCCCCCCCGCGCCCCGACCATTTTATTCCGCGTCGCACCGCCCCCCCTCCCTTGCCCCCTCCTGCCCCCCCTCCTCAGCGGCCCAGTGGAACCTCCGCCAAGTGCCCCCTCCACCCCGACAATGTTATTCCGCGTCGCACAATGCACCCCCCCCTCCCCACCCCCTCCTACCCCTCCCCAGCTTTCCCCGAGCGGCCCAGTGGAACCTCCGCCCAACGCCCCCTCCGCCCCGACCATTTTATTCCGCGTCGCACCACGCCCCCCACCCCCTGCTGTGCAACCACTCAGGGTGAAGGGGGGCCAGTTTCAAAATGGTGGTCTCGCCTCACCACCGTGCCGATCCGTTTCAAAAACTTGCAGCAGGTGGTCGTTGTCAAAATGGAGGTCTCTCCAAAGCGCCGCGGACATTCGTCTTTACAGCTTGCGGGGATGGAGGGGACTTCATGTTCAAAACGTGACTCTCGCCTTTGCGCGCGTGCGCGTGCATTCGTCGCAGCAGCTTGCAACAAGGGTGCAGGACGGAGCACGGCTCTGTTCATAGTGGGAGTCTCGCTAGAGATTTCCGTTCGTAATTTGCAAAGGCTTAAGTTCCAACACGTGTACGCAGCACAGCACGGGCGGAGGGTGTTTTTTTTCAAGATGGGGTTCTCTCCTGGACACTCCAGCCTGTGAGCTTGCGCAACAATTACACGGATGGGGGTTGGCCATTTTCGAAAAAGGGGGTTTTGACGAACACCTCGCTGGTTTGTCTGATCATAGCTGTCTGCACTTACTGACTCTGCACCAGAGTGGCAGGCCCATATGGTGCTGGCCTTTCGCGGAGCGCGCTTGTTTCAGTGAAAAGGCCAGTTTGCAGGGACGCGCGAGGAGGGTGTGTTGGACGCGCGGGTGTATTGCAGCATCGCCGATGCACCTTTGGTTTACTCTGGCCCTCTTCCTCCTCGTCCTCCAGCTTAAGCTGACTCTGGTCCTCCCCCCTGTCCTCCTGCCCTTTGTTATCCTGAGCCCTTCCCCACTCCTTAGCTCTTCCTCGGTATCCTCCTCCTCCTCCTCCTCCTCCTCCTCCCGCGGCTCAAACTGACCCTCGTCCTCTGTCCTCCCCCCTCCTCTCCGTCATTATGAGCCCTTCCCGCCTCCTTCTCCTCCTCCTCCTCCTCCTCCTCCTCCCGCCTCCTCCTCCTCCTCCTCCTCCCCTCCTCCTCCTCTCAGTTCCTCCTCCTCCGCCTCCTCCTCGTCACCTCCTCCTCCCTCCTCCTCTCCTTTTCTTCCTCCTCCTCCTCCTCCTCCTCCTCCTCCTCCTCCATCTCCTCCAGCTCAAGCTGACCCTCGTCCTTCCCTTCTCCCCCTCCTCTCCGTCATCCTGCACCCATCACCCCCCTCTTCCTCCTCCTTCTCTTCCTCCGCCTCCTCCTTCTCCTCCTCCTCATCATCATCATCTTCCTCACATTCCTCCTTCTCCTCCTCTGGCTCGCGCTGACCCTCGACGTCCCTCCTCGCCCCTCCTCTTCGTCATCCTGAGCCCTCCCCCCCCCGCCCATCACCCGTCCGCCAGAAGACCTCGCCGCCCGGGCTCGCCCCCCCCTCGGAGAGGCTGCCGGCCTGGCCCCCGCCGAGGCGGAGGAGGCGCAGCTGGCGCTGTCGCAGGAAAGGGGGCCTCCCAGGGAAGGGTCTTCGTAGTATATGTTCGGTACATTTGAGCGACGCAGAAGCATGGGTTCGAGTGCGCTCACATCGCGCGCAAGCTGCCCGCGTAAGCTCGCGCGTGGGTGCCCTCGTTTCCCATGCAGCGTGCCGCGATGGCGGCCCGCGCCAGCCCCCCCGCGCAAGGTCGCTTTATGCCGTCTCGCGCAAGACCCGTTTTCTTTTTGTCGTTCTTTTGTTGTTGGGCATCTAGCCCGCTTTCGCAAGCCACTGTTTCCCCCCAGTCCCCGAGTTTCTTTAGAACAAATGGAGGCACACTTTTGGGGATACACCTCACGGGGGCTAGTCGGACGCACCCATTATCGAGGATGGGCGACCCCCATCGTATATCTCAGTTGGGCTCCGAATCTCTGGTCCATTCGAAACCCTCCCGAAGCCTGGGATAGGGGGGGGGTACCACATGCGTCTGCCACATCCAGTAAAGCGCTTCGCGGCCCCATAGGGAGCTCCACCTAAGGCCCCAGGGGGGGTACCACATGCGTCTGCCAAACCCAGTACAGCGTTTCGTGGCCCCATAGGGAGCTCCACGTAAGGCCCCAGGGGGGGTACCACATGCGTCTGCCACACCCATCGCAGCGCTTCGCCTAAGGCCCCAGGCGGGGGGGGGTACCACATGCGCCTGCCACATCCAGTGCAGCGTTTCGTGGCCTCATAGGGAGCTCCACCGAAGGCCCCAGGGAGGGGGTACCACATATGTCCGCCACACCCAGTGCAGCGTGGCCCCATAGGGAGCTCGACCTAAGGCCTCAGGGGGGGGGGGGGTACCACATGCGTCTGCCGCACCCAGTAAGGGTTTCGTGGCCCCATAGGAAGCTCCACCTAAGGCCCCAGGGGGCGGTACCACATGCGTCCGCCTCGCCCAGTACGGCGTTTTGTAGCCCCATAGGGAGCTCCACGCAAGGCTCCAGGGGGGATGGGTACCACATGCGTCTGCCACACCCAGTACAGTGCTTCGTGGCCCCATAGGGAGCTCAACCCAAACCCACTGGGCGGTACCACATGCGTCCGCCACACCCAGTACGGCGCTTCGTGGCCCCAAATGGAGCTCCACCTAAGGCCCCAGTGGGTGGCACCACATGCGTCTGCCACACCCAGTACGACGTTTCGTGGCCCCATATGGAGCTCCACGCAAGGCTCCAGGGGGGGGCACATGCGTCCGCCACACCCAGTGCAGCGCTTCGTGGCCCCATAGGGAGCTCCACCTAAGGCCCCAGTGTGGGTGGCCACATGCGTCCGCCACACCCAGTGCAGCGTTTCGTGGCCAGTGGGGCCGTCCGCATGCGTCCCGCATGCCCACTTTGGTATTTCTCCTACCCAGTACAGCGCTTTGTGGCCCCCCCACAGGGACCGCCCGCATGCGTCACGCACACGCAATTTGACATTTTCTCCCACACCGTACGGCGCTTCGTGGCCCCAATAGGGAGCTCCACCGAAGCCCCCAGTGGGAGCGCCCACATGCGTCCCACACACCCAATTGCGCAGTTTCACCCACACAGTACAGCGCTTCGTGGCCCCATAGGAAGCTCCACCGACCCCCCCAGTGGGACCGTCCGCATTCGCCCCGGAAACCTAATTTGGCATCTCCACCCACCCAGTATAACGTTTGATGGCCCCATTAGGAACTCCACCTCAGCCTCCAGTGGAACCGTCCACATGCGTCCCTGAAACCCAACTTGGAATTTTCACCCACCAAGTACTGCGTTTCGTGGCCCCGTAGGGAGCTCCACCGAAGGCCCCAATGGGGGTGCCACATGCGTCCGTCACAACCACTACAGCGCTTCGTGGCCCCATAGGGAGCTCTACGTAAGGCCCCAGTGGGGGTTGCCACATGCGTCCGTCACACCCAGTACAGCGCTTCGTGGCCCCATAGGGAGCTCCACGTAGGGCCCCAGTGGGGGTGGCCACATGCGTCCGCCACACCCAGTACAGCGCTTCGTGGCCAAATAGAGAGTTTCACCGAAGCTCCCAGTGGGACCGCCCACATGCGTCCCACACACCCACTTTGGCAGTTTCACCCACACAGTACATTTTTTTCGTGGCCCAACCCGCCAGTTGGACCATCCGCATTCGCCCCGGAAGCCTAATTTGGCATTTTCACCCACCCAGTACAACGCTTCGTGGCCCCACAGGGAGTTCCACTGAAGCCCAGTGGGACCGTCCGCATGCGCCCTGGAAGCCCAAGTCGGCATTTTCACCCACCCAGTAAAACGCTTCGTGGCCCCATTGGGAGCTCCACGGAAGCCCCCAGTGGGACCGTCCGCATGCGTCCCACACACGACTTGGCATTTTCACCCACCCAGTACAGCGCTTCGTGGCCCCATAGGGAGCTTCACCGAAGAAGATAGTTACACTTACGTTCCCACAAGTGCATGTGGTTGGGCCGTTCGCCAGGATAATTGTTCTGGTTGCTCCAGGAAAAAAACGTTCCCTAAGTGTGTCTTGTGTATTTTCGTCAGTTGCCTTCCAGGAGATCCTTCTTATTGCCGACAGGATCGAAGGTGATCATTCCCATCCTGGGAGGTTCGGTGAAAGTCTGCTCTTTTGCCCCGTGCCCTTGCCCAATGATCTCCTTGAGCAGGTTCTCGATATCCCGCACGGCTGTTGCTGCCTCCTTTCCCACTTTGCAGCCTAGCGCGACGACCGTCGTGCTCCTCCTCCTCCTCCTCCTCCTCCTCCTCCTCCTCCTCCTCCCTCCTCCTCCTCCCTCCTCCTCCTCCTCCTCCTCCTCCTCCTCCTCCTCCTCCTCCTCCTCCTCCTCCTCGTCCTCCTCCTCCTCCTCCTCCTGTTCTCTCTTTCCTGATCGTCGTGCTCGTCGTAGTCGTCGTGTTCCTCTGGAGGTGCGCGCGGGGGGCCGACCTTGTTGACCCTCTCTCCCTGCACCATGTCTTCAACCATTTGTGGCAAGTCATCCCGAAGAGATGTGATATCATTATTTAATCGCTTCGCTCATTCCGCTGGCCCTCGAGCGCTCTATGGGTCCTTTTTGAAGCCTCCTGGGGGCCTCTTTGGGGCCTCTTGGAGGCCTCTTGGGGGTCTCTTGGGGCTCCTAGGCGGCGTCTTGGGGCCCCCGAAGAGATGTGATATCATTATTTATCCCGTCGACGTTGGTCTTGACCTTTCCCATGGCCCTCCCAGCTTTGTCGCTCGCTGGCAGTATGGGCTGTGCTCTGTAAGCTGTTCTTCTGTTCCTGCAGTGAGGTCATCATGTCAAACATATGATCGATTTTCTGCTCATGCGATAAACGCTCACCATTGTGTTTCGTAGAATTGGGAGAAGGAGTTACCCCCTTAAAGGCCATATATGATCCCGGGCTCCGGGCCCACGCCCCCCCCCCAGATGGTATGGTCCCAGGATTCCTCGGCCCCCCCCACCCCCAGATGGTATGGTCCCAGAGACGACGACGACGACGACGACGACGACGACGACGACGACGACGACGACGACGACGGCGACGGCGGCGGCGGCGACGGCGACGGCGACGGCGACGGCGACGGCTACGGCGACGGCGACGGCGACGACTACGACGACGGCGACGACGACGACGACGACGACGACGACCACGACGACGACGACGGCTGCGGCGGCGACGACGGCGGCGGCGGCGACGACGACGATGACGACGATGACGACGGCGACGACGACGACGATGACGACGACGACGACGACGACGACGACGAGGACGACGAGGACGACGACGACGACGACGACGACGACGACGACGACGACGACAACCACTGAACCACCACAGCACCACACCACATCCACAGGGGGGGGGGAGGGGGGCACCGCAGCGCCGCACCACGCCACGCCCACCTCTGAACCACCACAGCACCACACCACATCCACAGGGGGGGGGAGGGGGGCACCGCAGCGCAGCACCACGCCACGCCCACAGGGGGGGGCGGGGGGGACCATCGCGCGGGGGGGGGGGCCCAATGGCATCAGCATTGGGGGGGGGGGGGGGGCCCAAGCCCTGGACCATATATCGCACAATGCGATGTGGTCCTAGCGTCCTAGCGTGCTTTCTCCCTCGCTTGAAACTTGACTTGAGCCTGACTGGTAACTTGAGCCAAAAAGGGGAGGGACGGGGGAGGGGGAGGTAACATGGAGGCGAGGAAGAGGAGGACACATGGAAGCGAGGGAGGAGCAGCAGGAGGGAAACAATGACGACGGAGAGGGGGAGGAACGAAGGACGAGGCGAGGGAGGGGAGGCAGTAGAGGCGAGGGAGGGGGGAGGGACAGAGTGGCGACGGGGAGGGGGAGGAACTCTGGAAGCGAGGGCGGAGCAGCAGGCGGGGCGACTCAGCGGGCGCTCCGCCGGCCAGCGGCCCGCCGCCAGGAGGAGGCCCGCGCCGCGCTGCTGTCGGCCGCCGGGCGGGGCGGGGCGGCGGCCCTGGAGGCGGCCGTGGCCGCGGCCGAGGCGGCGGCCCTCCGGTGCCGGGCCGGGCTGCGGGCGCGGGCATCGGGAGACTCTCGGCTAGACGTATGGAGTGGCCTTTCGCCGGAGTGACCTGTTGGTGCGGGCACGGATATGGGTCCCCAGAGGGCCGAAAGCGAGGCAGGAGCAGCGGCTGGCGCGCCCAGGTCTGGTCCCCCGCGGCCCCCAAGAAGCCGCGCACCAAAGGCCACTCTTGTCCAGGGCCACTCTTGCGTGTAGCCGGCTCCGAGGGGAGGCGGCGGCGAGAGCGGCTGCGACGGCGAAGGCGACGACGGCGGCCGCGACGGCATCGACGGCGGCGGGCGCGGCAGCTGCCGAGGCCGCGGCGCTCCCAGAACTCCTCGCGATGTGGAGACATCTCGACGGGAGGTCTGTCTGCCGTTTTCGGCCTCCGGGTGCCCTTCCCCGGCCCCAGGGCCGTCAAAGAACGACTCAAGAGGAAAACCTATATGGGGGTCGACGTTGTGGTTAACAAAACACGGCATCGGGGGTCTGGGTTCCGGAGGCCCTTGGGCGTTTGGCGGGGCTGCCGGTGCGGCGGGCCGCTGCCAGGGGCGTCTTTCGCTCGGCCCGGAGCGCTCCCAGCTCGAAGCGTTTTAAGCCGCAGGCCCCGGGCCTCCCAGAGGGCCTTCTTGGGCCGACTTTTGGGCCACGAGCACCGAGCACGGTCCCCTCGCCGACCCCCTTGCGTCGCGAGCAGAAGCCTAACGGGCGTTTTCTGTTGCTGCAGTTTTCGGCCTCTGGGGGCCCTCGCCAGGCCCCGGGTCGGGCAACAATAACGGTTCGGGATGAAGAGTTGGTCCCGTGGGTCTGGTTGGCCCAAAAGGGGGTCCAGCGAAGAGAGGGCGGTGCAATAGATTTGTAGGGTTGCAATAGATTGATTTGGAGCGTGCAATACACCCCGGTGCGTTAGTATATAGTTGGATTTGCGCGGGCATTACATTAGTTGCAACACAATGCAATACAATTCCCTGGCGCAATTCATTTGAAATACAATTGCCCCAGATCTAATGCAACACCCATTTTCAGCTAGGCCCCCATTTCGTCAACCAAATTGGTGTGGGTCGAGACCTCCAGGTGTCGGCATTATGAAAACCACGACGGCGGGGTTCTGGCTCGGCAGCCTCGAGTAGTCTTCGGAGGAAGACATGTTGCAGACATCGGCGGCCATCCTCGCTTCCTCGTCGTTTGGCCCCTCGGAGGGCCTCCAAGTCCCTGGGGGGGGTCTTGAGGTTTCGACCCGTACCCTGGGGCCGGCTTTCCATCCTGAGTCGTTTTTGTTGACGGTCCCAGGGCCCGGCGAGTGCTCCCAGAGGTCGAACACTGCCCCAAAGCAGTCCGTCGTGATGTTGTCCGCGACAAAAGGGGGGCTGCCGTGCGGGGCTAGGACGAGGATAAATCCGTTCCAGAGCGTTCGGGAACGCTCTCAGAGCGTTCCGGAGCGCTCTAAGAAGGCCGCGGCACCCGATACATCCCTCTGAACCACGGGATGTCAGAGATTCTCGATTCATCTCCGCCACATCTATTATATGCGTATGCACTCATATACACATATACATATGTACACAGACACGTATCTACTCAACATATACATTTATACAAAGACACCCTACAACATATTGCTTTTGGGCCTCAATGGAGAATGGCGATGTCTTTATCACCACTGAGAGCCAGCGACTTTATAGACTGGCGCCCTCCCTGAAGGTATATGCAATGCTCGTCGGAGGGTGACTGTGTATGTATTCCCGTGGCGTATAGTCCCCACCTGATGTTATCCTCGCTCTGGCTTCGTCTTAGTTCGACTAGACGTAAGGGTGACCCTTCGCCGGAGTGACCTCTGGTGCGGGCCAAATGGGTTCTCCCGGTCGCCAAACGCGATGCGATAGCAGCGTCTTGCGCGATTGTGTTTGGTCCCCCCGAGGTCCCCAAAAAGCCGCGCACCGAAGGTCACTCTTACCCAGGGTCAATATTGCGTGTAGTCGATTAGTCAGGGTCCTGATCCTCCTGCTCCTGTTCCTGCTCTGCCGCGCGGTCAGGCAGGGTCTCCCGGGTCCCATGCGCTTGCGCCTGCCCTCCCTGCTGCCACTTGCTCCTCTTCTCGAGCAGTGGCGAAACGCCCTGGCTCGACTATAGGCCCCCCGAAGACGGTTCGGATAACCTGTTGTGTTCTGCGCGAAATGCTCCTAGGACATGTTTGGCTGAGACTGTCTTGTTCCCAAGCATCCTGTGGTGTTGGGTCCTTGTTTTGAAAAGACGGTCCCCGCGTCTCTTCCTCCTCCTTCGTCCTCCCCTCCTCCCTCTTCCATGCGTTTCACCAATCCAGTACAGCGCTTCGTGGCCCCATAGGGAGCTTCACGTAAGGCCCCGGGGGGGGGGGGTACCACATGCGTCCGCCACACCCAGTACAGCGCTTCGTGGCCCCATAGGGAGCTCGACGTAAGGCCCCAGTGGGGGTGGCCACCTGCGTCCGCCACACCCAGTGCAGCGCTTCGTGGCCACAAAGGGAGCTCCACGTAAGGCCCCAGTGGGGGTGGCCACCTGCGTCCGCCACACCCAGCACAGCGCTTCGTGGTTCCATAGGGAGCTCCACGTAAGGCCCCAGTGGGGGGTGCCACATGCGTCCGCCACACCCAGTACAACGCTTCGTGGCCTCATAGGGAGCTCCACGTAAGGCCCCAGTGGGGTTGCCCACATGCGCCCCCCCCACACACACCCACTGGCAGTTTCACTCACCCAGTATAGCGCTTCGTGGCCCCATAGGAAGCTTCACCGAAGCCCCCAGTGGGACCCTCTGCGTGCGTCCCGGAAACCCAAGGTGGCATTTTCACCCATCCAGTATAGCGCTTCGTGGCCCCATAGGGAGCTCCACCGAAGACCCCAGTGGGACCGTCCGCATGCGCCCCACACATTCAATTTGGCATTTACACCCACCCAGTACAACGCTTCGTGGCCCCATAGGGAGCTCCACTGAAGCCCCCAGTGCTACCGATCGCATGCGTTCCCCACCACCTAGTGCAGCGCTTCGTGGCCCCATAGGGAGCTTCACCGAAGAAGATATGTACAATTGCGGTACCCACAACTGCATATGGTTGGGTCCTTCACCAGGATCATTTTAGTATATCGGCATTCTGCTTTCAGGGCCTTGGTCTTGCGTTCCAAACGTCGATTTGGCCTAAGGACATGTCGTGTTAGGCCTGTAGGAATGCCGGGTCGGTCGGTCATTGCTATGTCTTCCCCGTCATACATTCCTCCCAGCCTACAGCCTCGTGTGCGAAAACATCCCAGCATCAAGCATCCTTGCACAGAAATGCCTCCCTGCACAGTCGAGCCACGACGCTGCGCAAAAGAAGCCCTTTGGGCGCGGGAGGGGCTCGGGTGTTCGGGCCGCTCCTTAGCTGCAGATCGTGGGACCCCCCCGTGTGGCCGAGGCTCCTCGCTGCCAGGAGCACCCCCTCCGCTCCCTTTGCGCAGTGACCCTCGTGGCAGCACGCGATGGCTGCAGCCCTGCCCCCGACCCGCTCCTGCCTCCTCCGCCCTCCTCCAGTGGGCGCCGCCCTCCTCCGCCCTCCCTCCCCGCCCCGCTCCCCTCCGCGCCCGACCCCGCCCTCTCCCTCCCCGCCCTCTTCCGCCCTCCCCGCCCTCCTCCGCCCTCCCCCGCCCTCGCCCCCCCGCCCTCCCCCGCCCTCCTCCGCCCTCCCCCTCTCTCCTGCAGGGCGGCGGGGCGGCTGCAGTAGGGCGCGAGCGCTGGGCTCCTGAGCCCGCGGGGGCCGGAGAGCTGGGTTCGGGGGGCACGGTGCGATGCCGCGCGCACGCAGAGGCTACGACTACTCTCTGGCCGAGGCATAAGATCGAGGTCGGTCTGGGGAGGGTGCCCACACGTTCTCGGTGTCCGCTGGATGTTCTTGTGCATCCTGGGGGCGGGCACCCGCGAATGGACTGTTTTTCGGTTTGGCCGGCGGAGGGCCCCATTCTCTCAGGGGACAGGCCCGACCGCAGCCCTCTCACTGCCCCCGACTGCGCCCGCCCCACACCTTCCCCCCTCCCGCCGTCCCCCGGTGTGCGCGCGCCGGCCTGCTCCGCGCCCTGCTCCCTGCGGCCGGGCGCCCCACGGCATCCCCCGTGCACCGTCCCCCTCCGTCGGACATAGCCAAGGCCCCAGGTGAGGGGACCCGGTCAGCATGGTGGGGACCCGGAGCCCCTCAATGAACCGGAGTCACCGAGCCGGGTCTGCCGTGAGCGGTGTTTTTTTTCGGGTGACGGCAGTTCCGGTTAGTGGAACGGGGCAGGGGGGCGTCCCCCAGTACACATCACTAAGCCAGGTCCCGCTAAACCCAGTTTTGCCAACGCCCGTCTTCATCAAGCAGTGGCGAAGCGTGCTGGCTCGCCTATAGGCCCACCAAATAATGTTCTTGGAACCTTGTGTGGTCTGCACGGAATGTCCTTGGAACATCTCTGGCTGGGACTGTCTTGTGTTAACACATCGGGCTGATGTTCTAAGAACATGGTTTTTGCTATCAGAACATGTTTGGGTTCTACGAACATGTCGTGTGAGGCCTGTCGGAATGCCGGGACGGTCGGTCCCTGCTCCACTCCAAGAGGCCGCTTCCACGGGGGGGGAGGGGAGGGGGGTCCCAGCCTCGCTCGCTCCGTGATGAACTCACGGCGGGCGGTTCTGGACAAGTTTCGGCCTCTGGGGGCCCCCCGCCGGGCCCCGGGGCCGTCAAGAGTCGGCTCGGGATGACAAACGGGCCCAGGAAAATGGGTCGGGAACTCCAAGGACCCGCATTGAAAAAGATGGGGCGTCGCAGGTCTGGGGAGGGCTTCTGTCTCTGGGCGACATTGATAAGTCGTTGCGTGATACCCGGCTCCTTAACCATACTTCCGAGTCGGTTTGGGAGGTCGCCGCGGCGATCGGCGATCGCGGCGGCCACAAATCGGGGCACGGTTTTTGCCAAGAACTGGAATGGCCCTCCCTCCCCCCGCTGACCCGCGATGTAGACGCGGCTCATACGGACCCCCCCAATTAGCGACAAAGAGTTGCCAGTTTGTGTCCAACATGGGCCCACATGTTTTTGGGGGTACGGTCAGGCACTGTCGCTAAGCGTGTCGCTCCGCTGGCCCACCACGCTTCGGCGCAACACGCTATCCACGTCCCCATCCCCAAGCGTCAACGTCCCGAGCTTTCCCGAGCGTCCTGCCCCTCGGTGTGCAACGAGACGCTATCCGCTTGCCAGGCGTAGCGTGTCGCCGGGGCCATCGCCGCGATACGCTAAGCAAAATCACCCAACCGTAGGGGTCGCTCACCCATTCCTCGGGACGGGCTTCTTGTTCGGAGTCGTTTTGTATGGTCCTGGGGACTGGCGAGGGCCCCCAGGGGCCGAAAATAGCAGCAACAACAACAACAACATTTGCCGTCATGATTTCTTCATGACCCGAGGGGAGTTGGCCGCCGGTGTCTCTTAAAAGTGGGAAGCGGCAACCGGAAACGGAAAACAACCCGGATTTACACCGGAACCGAAATTGGCAAATCAACGGCGACGGACCGGGGAAAACACCGCGCCGGAACCGGTGAAGACACGGAAGCACGGAGATTGCAAAGGAGCGATTTTGTCGTTCCGCGGGCCAACGAAAGGTGTGGGCATCACGCAGACAATCTTCAGTCGGGCCTGTCCCTCTGTAGGAGGAATATTCGAAAATAAAGATGGTCTGGGAGCGATTGTTTGACTATTTTTGAATATGTTGGTGATTTCTTTTCGCTTTCTTTGGTTTTTCATCCAAAATCCCCGATAGGAGGACATGCCCGACCTGGAGCCAATCCCCCAGGTGCCCCGAGCTCGACGCCGCAGTCGCCGCCCTGGACGCCCTGCGGCGGCGCGCGGCGGCGGCGCGCCTCGGGCTGACGGAGTCGGGCCACGGCCGCGATGCGGGTCGGCTGCGCGCTGCGCTCGCAGACGCAGAGGCGGCGGGCCTGGAGGCGCGGGAGCTGGCGGACGCGGAAGGGCGCCAAGTATCAGGTCGGGCCTGTCCTTCTATTCGGAAGGTGTTAAACAATAGTGTGGGGACGGATTTTGGGAGTAGTGTTTGATCGTTTGGGGATTTGTGTGGGGTCTTTAGTTTTTGTTCCTCCAAAATCTGCCTGTGGGGGGACATGCCCAACCTGAGCCAAGTACCTAAACCCCTGGCGTCGCGATTAATCACCACGACGGACGGTGTTTTTTTATTATGCTCGGTCTCTAGGAGCCCTCGCTGGGCCTCGGGACCTTCAGAAGCGGCTCTAAACGAACAGCTGGTCCCAGAGTACGGGTCGATACCTCTGGGGGTCGACGTTGTGAAGACATGGATGATGACATGGGGGGTCAGGGCACTCGCCTGCACTAGGTCCTCGAGGATTGAGGATCGAGTCTCGAGGTCTTTGGGCGTTGGGGTGTGGGAACCGGCTGGGGGCCTGAGGTGGCCCAGCACTGGTTCCGGCCAGCAGGCGGGTTGAAGGGACTCTGGAGGGAAAGGGGGGTCAGCTCGGCGTGCTCGGAGCAGGGGCCAGGCTCCGCCCGCCCGCTCGCGCGAGAGTACCGGACGAAGCCCACATCGTTTTTGGCGCCGTCCTACAACGTCGTGAACTTCCGCAACGGCGTAGGAGTGGTTTCTTTCGCCCACCGTCGGTGGCCCAAGCTGTCGGCGGTAGCTGGTCCAGCAGAAGCGCTGTGCGCCGGGAAATGATGGCGAATAAGGCGGGAGTTCAAGTTGATACGGTCGACGCGCTTGCCCTCGCTGCGGCTGCGGAGCAAGTCGGGGGCATCGCGCGCAATGTCGTTCCTCTGGCTCGGCGCCGTCTCGCCAATCGAGTTGCTTCCACCCTGCCTGAACAGTATCACTGGCGCATGGTCGCCCTTCGAGGCTTGCGCGCCAGGTGGGGCAAGTTGGTCTGGAGGCCGCTCGCTCGCTCCCAATATTCGCACGGTTTTTTAAGATTGACATGCTGTTGCGTCACGATGTACTTGGCCTCTGAGGGGTCGAGCAAAAGTGTTGCTTCGAGACCTTGCGGCGAGGGGAGGCAGGGGGATCAGCTCCGTTGTAAGCAAGAGCTGTGGGGAAGTGCAAGCGATGGACTCACCTCGCTCCAGTTCTGAATGCGCATGGGCTTCCGTATAGGAGTCTAGAGGAGATTGCAGGGGAGTTTGACGCAAACTGGGGTGTGTGGGGATGTCTTCTCTACGTGTCCTGAGGATCGTTCTCGGTGGCCCCATTTTCGCGCCCGTGTTGAAGAAGCCCCTGGCGGGCTCTAAGGCTCTGGGGTGTTGGGGCACCAGGACTTCAACGCGTCGCAATCCCCTGCCAGGGCCAGGCGTCGTTCCCTATGCGGGCTGGTGCATCGGGGATGCGCCCGCGGTATTGGTGCAGCTTACATCCCGCAGTTGCAGTTGCAAGCGATGAGATCCAAGCCATGCTTGGCGACACGGGGGGAAGACTGATGGGGTTTCTACGAGATGGCGTTCAGGATTGGGACGGGGGAGGGAACGTTTGTCGCAACTTGTCATTGCCACGGCTCTGATGAGTGCCCAATTTGGATGCCAAGATCACGCGCGGTGTTGGCCGCCCGATGAACGCGTTCCTCCGCGACGCCGCTGCACCGCTGTAGAAGCCCGCGCAGGGAAGGCACATGCTCGAGAAAGTTGCGCTAACCGAGACTTGGGGGCTACAGCGGTCCTTTTCTGGCTACGACAGTGTTTCCGTCCTCCCGCGCTAACGTCACTGGTGCCATCCCCTCGCTCATGCTCGCGCGGCCACCGGCTGTGCTCGCTGCTTTGCGGGTCCCTTCATTTGCCCTTCTCTGCTTCTCGGCGCCGACTTTCCAGTCCGCGTGCTTGCCGGTTCCGCAGTTCGCCGCACAACTTGGGCCACCCACCCCACTCGCCAGCATGGTGCACGAGCACAAGTTGCACAGGTTAACGCGTAGTCCATATCATGCGCGCTCGTCCAAGTTGCTTCAGTCCATGAAGGATGCCGAATTCACTATCGACTCACGACATTTCTGCTCTGTCTCTTGCACGTCGTGTTCTCCGCACCTTCATGCGTCCTTGAATTGGAGATTGCGGGGGCGAGATCAAGCGAGCTGCTGAAAGCAGCGGCGTTTGCTACGCGCGCGAGGTTGAACCCAATGGCTGGCATCAGAAATATTTTCTTGCTTGGCATGCTTCCATCTGCCCAGCTGATCCATGACGCGGTGCACTTGTCCGTGCCGATCCCAGAAGAATTCCCGAGAAAGCAGCATGCTCGTCTCCACGCTCTACCTCTACCGGGCTCTCCTCCGCCTGAGGGCTCCCCCCCCGAAGGACCCGCCGTTCGTGCGATTACTACCAGATGTATCGTTTTTTTGCGCATGCCACATCTTTGCAAGTGTAGATTTGCCACAGCGCTGTCACTGAGATCCCCATGATCGAAATTGTTTTGAAAATCCCCACAATCAAGTTCAGTTCGTAAACCCTCACACATGACATCAATGTGTAATACATGTGCACATTGATTTTGATTGTGATGGATTTCCAGAGGCGGCGCCGTGGGGCCGCGGAAGCTTACCAGGAAACAGGAACAACATGAGAAACATGAGAGAACGTCTGTTATCACAAGGAGAACACAAACATTGAACAAAAAACGGGGAAACATATGATTGTCGTTGCTCTTGTATTGCGGACGAATTACAATTGTTTTTTTTGTTGCGGCCTTTACAAACGGATTCGTTTGTGTGGCGACCTTCTGACATGATTTTAAGTGTGGAGGGTACGCAGTGGCCCCCCACCCATAGTTATAATCGTTTTGTAGCAGCCTGTGCAAAGGAAGTCCTTTTGTGCAAGTGTGGCGGATCAGTAAAATCCCTCACGAGTAAAACAATTTAAAAAAAGCCACACAAGCAAATTCAATTCGCAAACCCGTACACTTAAAATTAAGTTGGGCATCCCCACAATCAAATTCAATGTGTAGATCCCCGCACATGAATTCGATGTGCAACTTATTCACATAGTGATTTTGATTGTGATAGATTTCCAGAGGCGGCGCCGCGGGGCTGCGGAAGCTTACCAGGATAACAACAGAATCAAGTCACAGTTGAACAAGCTTTTGTTCTTTGCCACGGCAAAAGCAGGGAAGCCCGAAACAACGTTAATATTCGTAATGTTGAGTCTGTTTTTTCTGTACTGCGCCAATAAAGGCGCTGACAGTCACATTGCTGTTCAGTTTGCCGTTTTTCCATTTACAAGCAGATTTTGTTTATGTGTTTCATGTTTTTGTTTCGTTTTTTTGTTACGTTTCGGCTGGTCCACGGCACCTTTCTTGGAAACCCATTACATTTCACAATCACAGTGCACATCGATTACACATTGATTTCCTTCGTGGGGGAGGGGGGTAAAACTTGACTTCGAGTGTGTGGGTTTTAATGTGGGTTTTCAGTGCGCGGGTTTTCACTGATTACATTTATGCGTGTGGCTTTACATTTGTTTCAGAGTTTAGTGCATCCTAGTGGCGGCGCCGTGGGCCCGCGGACGCTTACCAGGAAAACAAGAAAACCATGACCAACATTAACAAGCTTGTGTGCTCACCTTGAAGAGAACACAACTGTGACTGTTAGCGCTGCCGTTGCGCAACATGTTAAAACATTCCAGCGATCACAGGTTGACCTTAGCTTTTGTTAAGTTGCTCCTGTTTTTTTCCATCTGAAAACATATGTGTTTTAATGTTTTTCCAGTTTTTGATTTCCTGGTAAGTTTCCGCGGCCCCACGGCGCCGCCTTTGGGAATCGATTAAATCAAATCCAAGTTGTGAATTAATTACAAATTGAATCCATGTGTGGGGGGCTTTGCAAATTGAATTTGTTTGTGGTGACTTCCAAATTGATTTTGTTTGTATGGGTTTGCAACTTGAATTTGGTTGTGTGACTGTTCAAAGTGTTTTCCAATTTCAGGGAATTGTATGGACCCCCCAAAATGAAAACCCATTTCGCAAGGCCGTCTCAAAAGCAATTCCTTTTGTACAGGCTGCTGCACAATGGTTGTCAAGACGGAGGCGATTGCATACCCCCCACATTTACAATCGTTTTGCAAGGCCGCCACAAAAGGAATATGTTTGTAAAGACCGCTACGCAAGGATCTCCATTACAGGTTATCTTCATTCTAAAAACGTTGCAAGTCACAGTTGTTCTTCAGCTGTCTTTTTTCCATCCGAATGCACACCTGTTTGTTCATGTTTTCTTGGTAAGTTTCCGCTGGCCCACGGGGCCGCCACTAGGATTCCCTTCGCGTGACAACAATTTGGGTAGCCCCACAATCAAATTCAAGTTGGGAGCCCCGTGTAAGCAGTACCAATGTGAAGATCAACGCGCTCAACGCCAATGTGCTTAATCAATTAAATGAAATGAATGTATAACCCTTTTGCACATTGATTTTGGGTGTCATGGCTTTCCATTGGCTGCGCCGCGGGGCCGCGGAAGCTTACCAGGGGGTGTTCCTGCCGTGGGTGCGGACACTTTTTGTCCGGGCGCCGAAGCATGTTTTTTTTAATGTTGTTGCTGTTTTTTTATCTAAAAAGTTGTTTTCTTGGTAAGCGTCCGCGGCACCACTGCGCCGCCTTTGGGAATCCACTGCAACCAAAATCAATGTGTAAATATACTACACATTGAATCAATTTGTGCGGATTTGCATATTGAATTTGATTGTGGTGGTTTCCACATTGGTTCTTATTGCAGGGATTTGCAAATTGAACTTGGTTGTGTGGCTGTGCAAAGTGTTTCTAAGTGCAGGGAACTGAACTGATCCCCAACAAGTAAAACCCTTGTGCAAGGCCGCCCCAAGAGCAATTCCGTTGTACAGGCTGCTACACAACGATTCCAAGTGCGGGGGCCATTGCATATTTTCCACACTTAAAGTGGTTTTGCAAGGTCGCCACAAAAAGGAATCATTGTGTAAAGTGCCGCGACACAAGGATTTTAATTGTAGTAGAACATCTGCATTAGAAAACGCTGAGAGTCACAGGTGTGCCTAGCTGTCTCTTGTTTTCCATGAGAAAACACATGTGTATTCTTGTTTTTTTCTGGTTGTCCTGTTTTCTTTTCTAGCCTTCCTGGGCTCAGGGTGCCGCGGCTGCATATTCCCCACACTGTAAACATTTGTTTGTAAGGCCGCCACACAATGAATCCCTTTGTGCAGGCTGCTACAACAAAATCTAAGTGCAGATCCTCCACACTTAAGATCCTGCCGTAAGGTTGCCACAATAAGGAATACGTTTCGCAAAGGCGTTACAAAAAAGACTTCGAGAGAAAACGAAGACACGGGGAGATGAAGATGAACGAATACGACGAACATTCATGATGAGTACACTGATGAGTACATGATCGCTAGCAGATATATCAAAAGTGCCTTGTTGTATTCATACGAACAGCGGGACTTGAAGTTGGTTGCTACAGCCTCGCCAGCCTCATCCCCCAGACCAGTCGGAATGTAGCAGCAGGCTCACCCTGTCTAGCCATGAGAATTGATTCCCATCTGCGCGCGAGGGGTATGTACTAGTACTCGTATCACTATGTTCCTCATGTCTGTACCTTCGCATGCCATCACAGCGAGTATGGGCTCGAAACTTCCAGGGACTATGATGACCTTCGATACTACAAATAGTCGGCCGTCGCTTCGTCGGAATACGTGTTCATTTGATGGTTTCTACCAAATCCTATCGCCGTTTGTACGATTCTATGGACTGCCACTGATCCTGATTTGCTCTCCCCCCCTTATGCCCCGCTGCTATGCACCTGCATGCGTGACGCTTGCGCGCTTGTAGCCTTGCTCGCCAGGGGGATGCCAGGCCCTGTCTCGCAAGCTTTCGAGGCGCGTCTCTGCTTTCGGTCCCCTCGGCACCTGGCTATAGCAAAGGCGTGGGAAGAAGTCAGGGCCGTGCCTGGATGGCGCACGCCTGCATGACAATCGGATTGCTGCCCGTGCAAGAAATTCTTCGGGGCCGCTTCAGCCGTATGTGTCGACTGGTATGCTAATTCGTCCGTCGGTCGAAACGGGAACATCAACGTGGCGAAACCTCGCCAGATCAAGTAAGATCCCCGAGGTGCAAGCGCTGTTTTGGGAACCGTTGATTTTTGAACGATTTTGGTGTCTCGGGGCATCATTCGAGCGTTTGCAGGCCACTTGGAGAAGTCCTGGGGCCGCGAACCATTTTGGATGATATTGGAATCCATCTCGCGGCATCTGGAGCCATTTGCGGCCATGCTTGAACCATGCTGTCATGTAGAGCTGACAGGGTGCCTTGATTGGCTCAGCTACACCCCGCCCGCCCCCCCCCCCGCCAATAGGATTTGGCGACCCAAGGGAGGGGGAGGAGGGTGAGGGGGAAACCTAATCACCTCACGCGCCTCCCACACCGTCGACGTCATGACTGTTTCACGTCGTCGGCCCGCTATCGGCCCATTCTGTGGGGCCAGTGCTTCATCCCGAGTCAACGTTGACGGTGCAGGGGCCCGGTGAGGGCCCCCAAAGGCCGACAGTGGGCAAACACAGCCCGTTGTGTTTCTGTCGACGACGCGAGGGGATCTGGGCCTCTCACGTCACAAACCAACACCCGTCGTGTTGTTTCACGTCGCGAAGGAGTGTATACCGATCCAGGGCCCACGCGGGCCTGGCCAGGATCGTGTCGTCTGGTGTGGTATCGCATGTCGTCTCGCATGATCATCTGACCGGCGCTCTCGCGCTTCACGGCAGGGTGTCACCAATGATGCCCCCGACGGCTCGGTGCCGGCGTATGCTTCTAACTCTTGGCGCCCCAGGACGCGCGGCACGCCTTGGCCGTGGTCGAGGCGCAGCTCGGGACCGCGCTCGCCGCCGCTCTGGAGGACCCCAGTGGGAGGAAGCATGTGAGGCTTTCCACAAAGGGCCTTGCCTTCGCAGGTAGAAGGAGTTGTCATCACTTCTGCGGCGGAAGGTCGGCCAAAGTAGAACGAGGCCGCCTCCGCCGGCAGAACCAGCGGAAGCTCGGCGGAAGGCGGGGGAAGTAACGAATGCGCTTCCAAGAGATGAACACGTTTTTGGGTTCAGGGTTTTCGAAATCGCCCATGTGTCACTACCACGCGTCGTGATGAGAGGATGGCGGACGATTGTTTGCTATGTTCGGCCTCAGGGAGCCCCACTGAGCCCCTGCACCGTCGAACAACGACTGAGCTTGAAAGGCCTGGCCCGGGGAAAGGCTCGAGACCTCTGGGGGTCGACGGTGCCGATGCCTTTCCAGATCGCCGACGACCGGGAAGTTTCCCCTACAAGACTCGTCAACAATCGATTGACGGTTTCTGTGCTCGGTGCCTGCGTGGTCGGCTCTTCCTTCATGCAAGCATGAGGCGTTGGTCACACACGCAGGGGTGTCCGAAATCCGGCAGTGCCCTCGCAGCATTGACAAGCGCATTTTCTGACAGGTGCCCGAGCTATCGGGCGCTTCGATTTTGAACGGCGATTCCACGTATTTTTGAGGAGGCTCCTTCGGTAGCAAATCATGGGAGCCTGCTATACCCTTTCCATGTAGTCATTAGCGTCGACGGGCCTCGATTGGCCTCTGGAAGTCGGTGGGCTAGCGCCGACTTGGCGTCGAGCAGCGCCGGTGTAGCGCCGATTCAGCGTCGGTCGGCGTCGACTTCGCAGCGACCAGCGTCGACTTCGCAGGAGCCGGCAGGAGCCGCACGGGTGGCTCCCAGGAGCTGCCGCCGAAGCCCCTTCGAGCTCCGGGGGCCAGGCTCGGGCCCCGGGGCCCGCAGGAGGGGCCCGTGGGGGCCCGAGGCGGGCCCCCCGGGAAGCGGCCCGCCGGGGGCGAGAGAGGCCTGGCCCCAGGGGGAAGTGGCTCGGGGAGCCCGGAGAGGCCGCGGCCGAAGCAGAGTAGCTCGGTGTCGCTCGACCGATGCCCATCCCCATCCCCATCCCCATCCCCTTCGAGAGCCCCACCAGATTGCCACCCCAGTTGGGGGTACACCCCTCGAAGCCCGAAGGGAACGACCTGTATCCCCATCCAGGGGGGTGAATCGGCCAGTGGGGCCCAGGCCACGCCGCTGGGGATGGGGATCGGTTCAACGATACTCAGAAGCACGTCAGCGGAGGCTGGGGTTTCCCTCGCCATCGCCAGGACTTCGCAGGAGGACGAGGTACCCGTACCACTACCATTCCCTCGCTTTCCCCTGTTCGGGCCTCCTGGGAGGCCCTCGTCGCCACCGCAGGATTCGCGTCGAAATCCTGGTCAGAACTCGCCCCGGGAGGGGTCATGGGAGTTGCGATATCAGTACCTTCTTGTTCCCCCAGGAGCGTGCCAGAACCATCGGCGTGTATGTACGTACTCGGAGCTCCGACTTCGCGATTCTTGCACGGCGCGGTGCCCAAGAGATCCCCACCCATCGGTCGTTGAAAGTCGGTATTTTTGGATTCCCAGATTCCAATCTACTTTAAGCGCCTTCCTACTTCGAGGATGGAGTGGCTTCACCTTCTCCGTCCTCCCAAGGGGGCGGGCGGACACCCAATCTACTTTCTTCCAACGCCTCTTCTACTTCATGCTTCTCCTCGCGGCTTTCCTCGCATCCGCGCGAACCTGCCGCCATCGCCCCCCCCAAGGATAGGGGGCCACATGCGAACCCTACCCCTACCCCCCACGATTTCTGAGGGGGAGGGTAGGGCTCCCTTCGCTCGGGAGCTCCCGAACGAAGCGATCCCCACCCACCCACCCCTCAGAAATCGTAGGGGGCAGGGGTCGGGTTCGCATGTGGCCCCCTATCCTTGGGGGGACGTTGGCGGCAGGTTCGCGCGGACGCGAGGAGAGCCGCGAGGAGAAGCATGAAGCAGAAGAGGCGTTGGAAGTAGATCGGGTGTCGCTCGGAAGTGAAGGACGCCACGCGGAGCCTGGACGTCGAGGCGCTCCGCGGCGCCATCGCCGCCGCGGAGTCCGCCGGGCTCGCGGAGCCCGGCGCGGTGCTGCGCGCGGCGCTGGGGGCGGCCCGCGAGGCCCTGGAGCTGGAGCTGCGCAGGGCGGCGGCGCGGCGGGGCCTAGAGGAGGCCTTGCGAGGCCGCCAGCCCGAGGCTCGGAGGAGGAGGACGGGGAGAGATGGGAGAGAGGGAGGAGGGGGAGGACGGGGAGAGAGGGAGGAGGAGGAGGAGGAGGAGGAGGAGGAGGAGGAGGAGGAGGAGGAGGAGGAGAGGAGGAGGGGAGGAGGAGGAGGAGGAGGAGGAGGAGGAGGAGGAGGAGGAGGCGGAGGAGGAGGAGGAGGAGGAGGAGGAGGAGGAGGAGGAGGAGGAGGAGGAGAGGAGGAGGAGGAGGAGGAGGAGGAGGAGGAGGAGGAGGAGGAGGAGGAAGAGAGGCGGCGGAGGTGGCGGAGGAGGCGGACGCGGAGGTTGGCGGAGGAGTATGAGAAGGAGGAGGAGGAGGCGGAAGAGGACGAAGAGCAGGAGGAGCAGTAGAAGGAGGAGGAGGAGGAGGAGGAGGAGCAGGATCAGGAGAATACGAAACAAACGAGTAAGAAGAACAATGAGGAGGAGAAGGAGGAGGAGGAGGAGGCGGAAGATGACGAGGAGCAGGAGGAGCAGGAGAATTAGGAGGAGGAGGAGGAGCAGGAGCAGGAGCAGGAGCAGGAGCAGGAGCAGGAGCAGGAGCAGGAGCAGGAGCAGGATAATAATAACAAAAACGAAGAAGACGAACAAGCAGGAGGAGGATGAGGAGGAGAAGTAGGAGTCAAGCTAGCCAGCTCGAGCGAGTCAAGCATGGCATGCCCATTCCCACCCGCCCTCCCACAACATAAGAAACAGTGCTGGCGCAACTGGGGACCGAAATCAGATCGGCAAGGTGGTTTGCCACAGCTGATGCAGCCGCGATGGCGGTTACCGATGGGGAATTCCTGGCGCGTCTCAAAGACTGCGCTGGCATTTCGGCACGAGCCGAGGAGGCCCCTGGAAGCCTCAGGAGGCTCCAGGAGGCCTCAGGAGGCCCCAGGAGGTTGCAGGAAGCCCCAGCGAACCCCAGGAAGCCCCAGGAGGCTTCAGGAGGGCCCAGGAAGCCCCAGGAGGTTCCAGGAGGCTTCAAGAAGCCCTAGGAAGTGCCAGGAAGCCCTGGGCAAACCCAGGAAGTCCCAGGATGTATCAGGAGGCCGCAGGAGGATCCACGAGGCCCGAGGCCCTGGGGAAGCCATGGGAAGCCCCAGGATGTTCCAGGAGACCCTGGGAGGCCCCACGGAGCCCTCGGCGCTCGACGAATTGGCGAGCGACAAATGTGCACCGCGCCTTCGTTGGAGCGCAACTTCCAGAAAACATGCGCGCGTCGCCGAAGCGAGAGCGACATTTCGCCCTGTCGCGCGCGATGTGCACCGCGCCCCACTCCTGCCACGCACTTCGCAAAGCCGACGACAAGAAAGTTCTCGATGAGAAGAAGGCCCCTCCCGCTTGGGGTTGCCCCAGACGCCCGCGCGCGATGTGCGCCGCGTCCCATTCCTGCTACGCATTTCGCATCGCCGGCGACAAGACAGGCCACGTTGAGAGGAAAACGGAGACTTTGTCCGAGTGCGGGGGCCGAACGGTCATTCATTGTCCCTGGGTGCGTGGCTGAAGTGGGGACTCGTGGTGAGAATTCTGCATGCGTTGTTGTTGTTGTTGCTGTTGTTACTGGTGGTGCTGCTGGTGTTGTTGTGGTGGTTGTGGTTGTGGTTGTGGTTGTGATTATTGTTGTTGGTGGTGGTGTTGGTATTGTTGTTGTTGTTGTTGCTGTTGCTGTTGTGGTTGTTGTGGTTGTTGTGGTTGTTGCGGTGGTTGTTGTTGTTGTTGTTGTTGAACATTATTTCTAAAGAATAATTATTGTTGGGGCCCCTGGTGCACGGCCCCCCTGCGCCGCCTAGGCCGCAGCTACATTTTCATCATTTTCGTGAGGAAGCCTCAGGTAATACGATGTCATCAAGATCCGGTTGTTTTGTTGTAATCCGTTTTCCCTTGCAAAAAACACTATAAAATGACATTTCTTGTTCTAATATAATCAAATTTCAAGAATCCCTTGCAAAAAATAAGGTAAAGTGGACATTCGCGCGCGCAAGACGAAATCCTTCCAAAAGCTTAGTGTTCGGAGCGATTTTAACATAAAAACATCAAAAAACCAATGGTTTTTCAACAAAAAAATGTCAAAATCTCATCCCGCGCGCTCTTGCGGATTCGTAGGAAACCCAACACTTTTTAAACATTTCTGTCAAACGGGCTTTTGCGAGCAACTTTTTCGAACTTCTGCGACAACGGTTGCGCACCTGCCAGGGCCATCATCCCTGTCAAATAATACCATGCGGGACACATTCGTTTTTTCTTCGCGCGCGCACGCCGAAATCTCCAAAAACCATTGGGCTTCTTAAGAATTTTAGCACCGCGCATCATAAAATCACACGAATCGCACCGTAGGTCCTCGAAAAACACCTGCACGACTTTTCAAAATTTCTACCCGCGCGCGCTGTCCTAACAACTTCTGTGGGTGTGTACTCCACGCCAGTGTAGTAGCCACGGTCGTCCGCAGGCCACGAAGTGAAGTGTCCGAACGTCATAGGGCGGGAAGCTGGGTGTGGGTGGTGGCGAAGAGTCGTGTGGATATTTGGTAGAGCTTGCACTGCCCCCCCACAAAGTGGGGGTATTGGCTGGCGTCGCATGAAAACCCTGGCACTGGTGAGAACACTGAGCGTTCGGGTAAAGTGATTGTTGTTGTTGTTGTTGTTGTTGTTGAGAACGACTGGTTTCAGACGCCCCCCGGGGGAAGGGGGGGGAGGGGGGGGCGCATCGCATGGCGCTGCGCCTACGAGATTCCTATGGGATCCCTGGCATTCCTGGATTCTTGGGGCTCCGTCTGGGTTCCTGGGAAACTTGGGGATTCCAAGAGATTCCTACGGATGCGTGCGGAGTGTTTTGGATTTCGAGGCATTAGTGGGGATCCTTAGGCTTCTTTTAGGAGTCCAGGGGATTCCTGAGGGAGTCTTCGGGGAACCTTCGGACTCTTGCGGGTCCCATTGGATCGTTGTGAAACCCCAGCGGGTTCGGATTGCTGTGGATTTGTTTGGGCTCTGGAGGAGTCTTTCGGATCCTTTTTAGGGTTTCAGAGGATCCCGACGGAGCCCGAAATATGCTTCAGGATTCAGCAGGATTCCAACGGATCCGTGGGGACTCCCCAATCCTCTAATGAATCGCGCTTTCGTTGAAACGTCCTTGCTATTTGCCCAGGAATTGCGCTCCCTTTTGACCATTTACGTACACGCTGTCGCCCAGACGTCTCGCTCAAGCTTGCCGCACACTTCACGTACTCAGGATCCGAGCTCTCGCCCGACAGTGTTTCGCAATATACTCGAGAATGCAGCTGTCTTTCGCTCTCTCTCGCTCTCTCTTTCTCTCTCCCTCTCTCCCTCCCTCTCATAATCATTCCTCGTTTGAGACGGTGGTGATGATGATGATGATGATGATGATGATGATGATGTCTCTGGTGATGTTGACTCGTGTTGTTGTTGATGATGCTGGGGCTGAAGATGGTGGTGCGTATGCTACTGCTGATGCCTATGATGGTGATGGTCACGATTGTCATGGCGACAATGATGATGGTGATGCGAATGGTAAAGTTGATGAGTATGCTGATGATGGTGATATTGATGTTGATGGTGATGTTAGTGATGCTGTTTTTCTCTGTCAAATTGTGCCCGTCGACGTTCGCACCCTGTTTTTTGACAGGGAACTTCTTCCTGGTCAAACTGTGCCCCTGGCCCCCCGGACTAAACAACAACGGCTCCCGCCTGAGACTTCCTCCAAATTTGCTCAGGACCCCCCCCCTCCCGTCTGAGACTTCCTCCAAGTTACTCAGGAACGGCGCTCCCGCTTGAGACTTCTTCATCATTTAGTCCGGGCCAAACTGCGTTGTTGCTCTCCGGGGCTACAACAACAATGGCAGCCGTCTGAGACTTCCTCCAACTTTACTCAGGACCCCCGCTCCCGCTTTAGATTTTCCCGCAATTTTCTCAGGATCGGCGCTCCCGCTTGTGACTTCCTCGCAAAAGTCAGGGCCCCCCCCTCCCGTCTGAGGCTCCTTCACAATTTACTCGATAACGGCGCTCCCGCTTAAGATTCCCTTGCGCTTTAGTCTAGACTCCCGCTCCCGCCAGGCATCCCCTTTTCAGGAATTGCGTTCTCGCCTGTGACTTGTTCGCAATTTATTCAGAAATCGCGCTTTCTACGCTCAGGCACCGCGCTCGCGCCAAGGACGCTGTCACACTTTACTTAGGAATCGCGCTCTCGCTCTAGTCAGGCATCCCGCTTGAACGTCCCACCCGCCCGACCCGCCCGTCAGAGGATCGCCCGCCCGTCGTGGGCTGCCGCCCGAAACTTTCTTGTGGAATGGCGCTTTCGCCTAGGACTTCTCCGAACGTTCGCACTCTTACCTTCCTGCTCCTCCCTCCTCCCGGGCCGCCTCCCCCTCCTTCCGATTCCCTCTCCCTCGTCTCCAACACCTCGCCGAGCAGCACCAGAGGTGTTACATGGCGCTGTTTATGCCGCGACCCATGGCGGAGCCTTTGTTAACCTGTGTAGGAATTGGTGGCGCAAGCCATGGCGCAAGTTGCATCGCAATTCACGGCACAAATCATCGTCGTCCCTCCTTCTTGCCCCTCTAATCCCTGCCTTCCTCCGATCCCTTCGTCCTCTCTTTTTGTCTTTTCCCTTTCGTTTCCCTGTTTAGGGGCTTCTCCAACACACGTGGCCAGGATGGAATACCTATACGACCGCCCTGCGGGCGATAAGGAGGTTTGGGGGGGATTGAGATCAAATGCCCACCCTGACTGACCTCCAGCCTGTCACCTTGATCTCATCTCTCTCTTTCTCTGTCTCTCTCTCTCTCTGTCTCTCCCTCTCTCTCGCCCTCTCTTTTTTCCCCATATCCTAAGGATTGGGGTTCTTGTTATTACTCTGACGCCTCCCACTCCTCCTCCTCCTTCTTCCTCCCGCTCGCGCCTCCCTCCTCCCAATGATAATCACCA